CCAGCAAAGCTATGTGGAAATCATCCAAGGCATAGAGTTTTAAAAGCCAATCCGACCAAGTCTTTATCCTTGAAAATCATTTCTTATAAAATATGAGGGATTTAGCAACAAGAAATACCTCTTGTCATCTTATACGGTCTCAAAACCGGAGAAGTTTAATCTGATAATGTGAGACGTAAGAATTTCAGATTTTTTTTTTTTTTGCATGCCTTAACATCTGATTTCAGCTTTATTTCAAAACATGAGACATTATGTTTTAGCCCTGGAACATAGCTTTTACAAATACAACCATTGAGACGAAGATATTGTTTTGTCGAGCAGGAGAAAAAGACCCAAAGTGTTAAAAAAGCTTCAATCTGAGAGCTTCCTCTAACACATCCAGCCTCTCCTGGTCAGACTAAAATTGTCTCCTGCACCCCCTCCGCCCTCCTCTTACTCCATGTTTTGTTTTTTTCCTTACTCCCCCCTCCTCCTTCGTCTTTTATAACTGACTACAAATTTACTGCTGGTCATTACAGAGGCAGGGTCAATTCCCCAAACAATGTGTTTGGTGCCACCATAAAAAGGGTGTTTTTTACGGCATGTAGCAGTAAAATGCTATTAAACAGATAAAACACCTGCAACGAGCATCAGGAGGATTATAAAAAGAATTGCCTTGATAAACTCCACGTATCTGCGAGATGGCACCGGCAGTTGGCCGGGGGATGGAGGAAGAGGGGGAAGGGAGGCTGGGGGGACGGGGGGGGTTGCGTGTGCTGCTGAGCACATGGAGAAGACAGGCCTGCGTGACCCTGCAGCGCCACCATGTGAGCAGACGTGGAGCAGCCACGCCGAGAAGGAATATTTCTGCAGTTTTGAACAGAGAGACGTGTCAAAAAGGGGACATTATTAAAGACAAATCCAGTGGTGTGTTCATCAACACTAGATGTTCACTACATATGTGTTGGGGTTTTGGCATGCGAACCTCACAGGACCTTTCACAGAAACCTTCACAAGCTGAGCAAATTGAAGCAACGACGACAAATAACTTCTCTTTACTGCAACCCTTCATATTTGTATCGTTTTAAACAGTGTTCAGTTTAGCGAGTACCTTTCCTCTAAACGCAATCAACTAAATTGATTGTAGGCGACGGTGCATTGCAAGAACTAGCCAAATAGGAGCAGTCACAGATCCGAGTCGGCAAGTGCGTGTGAAGTGGGTGTGGCACAAGAAATGTATGTTAACTGACTGTTATTTGTCAGTATCATCATTTTTAAATGTCATATGTGTGTTTGTGGAGAATCAAAGCATGAAATGACCCAGAAAATAGCAAAAGAAATTTACAAAATCTCCAGTTATTCATAATCTCTATTAATACATTTAAAGATGGAGATAAAATAATAAAGGTTTACAGTGTGGATCAATCATGGGAATGATCTGCAGCTTCCTGTAATGACAAAAACATACCAATTTAATTAGTGGTATTCAATCTGTGGTATTTTACTATCAAAAAAAGATTACTTCATTTTATATATTCATCTCATTAGAAAATGATACAGGTATTTCTAATAAGTAGCACGTTGAATTTCAATCAACAAAATTGTGTTTGTCTTTGATGATCGCAACAATATGAGCTCGTTTACCAAAAAACGTGAGCGCTTCGGTTTGCCCCATGCCATGTTGAAGTTAGTCCGAGTGCAACCAAGTTGTTGGTATCATTATTCAGAACGCCAGCATCACATCATTCATATTTTAAGGCTCGAAGGGGGCATTTAATACAAGTCTATTTAAAGGCTGCTTAACTGTTTAAAGTTCTGCTAAACTTCCACTGCTCTGCGAGAAAGCCACAGACGTAAAACAAAACGGAGAGGAATCGGCTGTGTTGCTCATCCATCACCGACCGAGGCTTCGTTTGGGAGCGAGGGAAAGAGGCAGGGCTTCGCTCGCGGAGACGGGAAGCAAAACACTGCTGAGAGTCTGACTATTAGAGATGGAGTGTGCAGTGCTGCTCCCAGAGGGCGAAGTGGAAATGACTTTGTCTTTGACAGAGAAAGAGCTGTCGAAGTGCTTGAGGCTCCTTCCTTTTTCCTGAACACACACACACACACACACACACACACACACACACACACTCATCCTCTGCTCGCTTTCATCCATCTTCTGTCTGTTCGGCAAAGTTAATCTGCGGTAAAATATTGCTACAGTGTGATTGAAAGCAAATGACTGTCAGATTAAATACAGAACAATTAAAATTCAATTTGAAAATGTAGACTAGAAGTAAAAAAAAAAAGAAAGTCTAGTCTTCGAAGATGCGATTATTGCTCATTTCCATCTTGCTAAAGGCTTCTGTGTGATTCAAATCATTTTCTCGTTGTAGCTAATAAAGTTAATATGACCTTCTCAGCTCCCCTCACAATCCTCCGCAGGCTTTCTCAGGGAAGCGCCCTCTCTCTGCTGGACTTCTTCAGCCAGGTGAGCCAATCGGAGATCTAGACTCCAAGACGAATTCAGCGCGATCCACTTTTTCTTCTCGACAGTCGGTGAAGCTAAACGATTCGACTATGATCACCCCCTTCGTTTTGCCCATTTGGAGCACCAAAATGTCTGCCTTCTCGAGCATTTTGATGAACGTCGGCCTGTCATTCCCACGAATCGGTCGCGCCGCCGTGGCATCCGCTGCAAATTTACCGACCGTGCCATGTCGTACTAAATCCTACGACAAAACCCACAAGTGCATTTTCGTTGCAAACGTGGCACCGTTTAATGGAAACCAAACTGGTTTCAATGTTAAAATACATAAAAGTGTCACTTTTACTTTTCATTTTGGGTTTCTGGTAGTTTGAAAACGTACAGTAATAAAACGCAGAGACCATAAACTGTCGCAAGCCTCTTTTTATTCTTTCTTTACGGTCACATTTATCTCGTCACCGGTCAAATTGCACCATGTTTTCCTGCACCGCTTTGCATTTTAACGCGCGTGAAATGGTTTGTAACGATCACCCAAGTTCTGACTCCGAAAGAGCCAATTTGATTCTGCTGAACTGAGATATTAATATAACTCAACATGCAAGTTTTCATATTCAAAAGCATGTTACATGCTAGTTGGCTGGAAAAAACAAAGTTCTTGTCATTTCAAACGTGAAGGCTTCCACTGTCTCTGATCCGTCCTCCTGAATCTGAGCAGCTTATCGTCAAGAGCAGATGTGAGGTCCTTTCCATAAAAATCGTCCAAACACATTAATAGCACAACAGCCTACAAATGACCGCTGTCTTTAAAATAGTAAATGTCAAAGGGCTGCGATTTTATCACACCGATAAAAGTCCAATACGGGGGTACTTACCTGAGGTTCCATAACTCTAAATGTCAGCGTCTCCCTGACCTTACCTCCACTCATTGGCTTGCATTCTTTTTATGAAACCGCCATAAAATATATTCCTAATGACTCGTCTTGAATGAAGGTTTCATCAAGCTGCTCTTAACATAAGGAGACATGAGACTGGCTGTTTGGACTCTGAAAATAAGACACACATGCGTCTTTCCTCTCTCCCTGCCGCACAAGATAAGAGACATCCACACAAGCGCAGATGGGGGGAAAAACAAACACTTCCTGAGCCGAGATCTACGAATCAGAAACAGTTCTTTCCCGGTGGAAACAGCCTACAGTGTTTTTAGTGATAGTGAAGTGTGATATGGAGCAAGTTTAGAGTTTAGTGTTGTAATCTTGAACAAGTCTGGGATGTAAGCAGTGAAGACGGTCTGGGGTTGCTCTGCTTCTTCTGGACCCGAATGATTGAAACTCACTGGTGGAACCGTGAATTCTGAAGGACAATGTCCCCCCCCCATCAGCTTGCGACCTTGAGACCCCTTGGGCGAAATAACCCGACTGGTACACCTCTAACGAATGTATTTGGAGTGGCCTAGTCAAAGACCTGACTTGCATCTCATTGAAATCTTGTGCAAACTCTCCAGTGTCAGAATGAAAACATGTCTGCAGAGTGGGTCCACTTCCCCCTCAAAGGAATGTAAACATCTCCTAATGAAACTTGGATGATGACTCGTTGGCCTTTTTTATTGTTTACCTTAATAATTTGAAATTTACTTTCAGTATTTTCTCGGCTTAAATTTCTGGAACGGTCTGAAGAATCTCCTTCAGATGGAGCCGAGCCTTGGAGCAACACTGTGGGAGCGCTTCGCTCTCCTCGCCCGCTCTCTTCCACACCGCGGAGCGTCTCTGCGAGGCGGCGACACGCCAAGCGGCGACACGCCAAGCGGCTGCTGGAGAGGCTGGCTGGCGGTCGCCATGGCAACCCCCAGTGGTTCGTCTTGCTGGGCGACGGAGGGGAGGGGGGCTGGAGGTGTCATCACCTAGGAAGGTGAGATAAGGGAGTTTAACTCTTGGTGTGAGAGCTGCTGATTGCGGTTCCTCTGTGTTCTGGTTGCTTTTACTGCTTTCTTCACTGTTGGTTCCACGAGAGCGTCAATAAATATAAAAATATGACTAAAGCCCAGTTGATTAAAGCCCCAAAAAGATTACCGAGATGATGTAAGATTATTTTACTACTTTTATTGTTGCCATAAAGTATCAAGAGTCAAATTTCTAAGCTCGTTTTGTCGACTTTTTTTGGGTCATTTAGTGTAATCTCCGCAACAAAAGCCAGGAACTTTTTCTCCTGAAATCCTTGCCGTCTTCAATTTGCCGAGTCTGACTTCAAAAGAAAAAGCAAATGCAAACAAACCCGTGTTGCAGTGAACATTCTTAATTTAAGAGCTCATAAAAACAAAACAAATATTTTTTTAAAAAAGCATTAATTTGAATCGGTTCCTCTTGCCGGAGGATCAAAATTGTGCCAGCTTACATCTTCAGTCACGAACCGCATGCAAATATTTTTTATTAATTGGCCTAGTCAAACTGATTGCTTTTGTTGCACCGTGCATAAATCAGATTAACTGTATTTTCATATGAACGCTTCGAGCTAATGTTCTAATTAATTACAAACAAACAAAAAAAAAAACTTGACAGATTTTTCAACATTAGCCTTTATTAAAAATGTCATTTTTGTGGACAAATACAATTATTACTCCATTTACAATCACTAACTCCTATACTAAAAAAAAAATACAGCCATGGAAAGCTCTATTCACAGCTAAGCTAACAGTGATGAGAAAAAGGGAATCTCATTCACCAGTCAAAAAAACAAACACCTTAAACAGAACTTAAAAGCGGACCGGTTGCTGTTGGTCACCGGTCTCAACGACAGCCACATTCGTCCACCACCATGTCCTGGTAGTGTCGGAGCACCACGTTATCGTTGTTGTCGTAGTAGAGCATGGAGATCGGGGAGAGGCGGATGGGGACGCAGCAGGGCTGGGGCGTGCTCTGGGGGTCCAGGGAGTGGACCAGCGTCTGCAGGATGGCGTGGTTGCTACCGTTCAGGCTCTCGCTCAGCGGGAACGGACACTCGCCGTGGCAGTAGTTGGCCATGTAGCCCGGCGGGGCGATGATCCAGTCCTGCCAGCCCACGTCTTTGAAGTCGATGTAGAGGCGACGGGCCTTGCAGATGTTACTGGGCGTCACGGGGAGGTGGACGGCGCTCCTCCTTTTCCGGGAGCGACACTGGTGCGGGTTCAGGGAGATGAGCACCAGAGAGGCCTCCATCAGAGGGAGAGTCCAGGCTTCCTCCAGTGGGAAGGCGTTGCCCGGCAGAAAAGGCGCGAGCTCCTCCGGATCCGCGCCGGGCGGCGGACTCAGCTCCACGACCAGGCCGTAGTTGTGACCCGGTTTGCGCCAGCTCTCCGCCAACGGCGTCAGGTCCACGGTGATGGCGGCGGGTCCCAGCTGCGGCCGTAGCGACTGCGACAGCAGGAGCCTGCGACTGGCCCGGGGATCGGCTCCCCGCAGCGTGGCTCGGATCACCTTGGAGAGCGACACGCTGACGGCTCGGGGCCCCCGCAGGAGCCCGGCGGGCCTCAGAGGCATCCAATGGAGCCTGATCTCCAGCTGAGCCAGAGACAGCAGCTCCGCAGGCTGCAGGACAGACACGTTGAAGAAAAGCTGCTTCACCAGACAGGCCTGACAGCTGCTGCTCCAACCCGACACCAGCCCGCCTGCAAGACACCAGCAGGGAGAGCTGCGCTTTAACAAGGTCTTGTTGGGGAAGAGTGGGGGGGTTGCTTGAAGAGACACCAAGCGCACAACGACATAAATAACAGCGGAGATGAAATTTCACGGCCCTTTATTTCTCCGTGGAACACCCACAGCGCCTGGACTCTGTGATTTTTAGCAGCAGCATCGCTGGGTTTTTGCTGAAGCAGAAGTCCGGGGTGATTTACAGGCCCCAGAAGAAAAAGCCTTGACCTGAGCCGCTTCCCAAATTTAATCGGATGCGTTTTTTTGGTTTACCCGGCCTGGTTGCCGAACAACGCCGTGATCAGTAAATGACGCAGCGACTCTTACGGGGTCCGAATGCGAATCCTGGTCGTTACTCTTCCCTCCGAGGCTGATCTCCTACGAACAAAGACGCACCAAACTTCCCAGACACAAGTAAGGAGTTTCTCATTTTAACCCAGCAGCACGTTTTAAAGCTGCGCTCGTCAAATGCAGAAACTTAAGAAAGAAAAAAGCCTATATGCTAAGCTATTGAATGTCATTTTAAGTCCATTGGCTTTCTGGTTTATTTTGCAGCCTCGAGCCTTAATGTATTAATTAAAGTTTTCTGTAAGGACTCAATGCATCACAGCACATTGCTGCGAATGATAGAAGAATTACTCAGTGTTTTCAGAATGTTTTAAGGAAAAAACACCATAAGCAGCAATCTGTAGACCAGGGGTGGGCAATCCTGGTGTCCTGCAACTCTTGGAGGTAACCCTGGTCCAACACAGCTGAATCAAACAGCTGAATCACCTCCAAAGTGCAGTCAGGTTCAGGTCCTGACTGCACTTTTTACCTCATTATTTGACTCCAGTGTGTTGAAGTAGAGACACATCTAAAAGTTGCAGGAGACCGGCCCTGGAGGCCTGGAGTTGCCCAACCCTGCTGTAGACTGAGATGCGCAGCAGCGGTTTCAGGTTTTACCACAGGCCCACATTAAATGTTTTAAAGTAAAAAAAAAAAAAAACGATGTGGAGTTTAAGGAGGAAATGAGAGGAAAGTGTAGGGAATAAAACATCTGCGGTTTGGTAGCATTTCAGTCAACTAAAACAAACTAATGAAATAAAAAACCGACATGACTGATACGGAACCCAGTTTGACGTCACGACGTTGTGTAAAAGTTTTACCAAAGAAATAAACGAAACACAGGAACGTTTTCAAAACGGTCGAACAACGAAAGTTCCCTCAAAGCTAGGCTAACTAAACCGACTGTAGCTTGGGCTTTGTCTCGGTACCAGCAGTCCACCCACCTTGGTCCTGCACGTAGCGGATGATGTTGCCGCGCACTCCGTACTCGGACACCGTGCAGGGGTCGCCGTCGCGGGCCCGGCCGCCCTCCGACCTCCGGAACATCCTCCACAGCTCGGAGGGGACGGGGCCTCGGCTGTGGCGGCGGCCTCCCCCGGGCTGCGGCCCCTCAGGGAGACCGAGGGACCTGAGGAAGAGCCGCTCTCGGGCGTCACTGTCCTCCGCCTCCGAGAGAGCCCGCAGGCAGAGGAGCCACACCGCTAAGTTCAGCAGGGCGGCCATGTTGGGTCTGAAGCGGAGCTCTGCATTTCTTCACCTGTGGCGGCGGGAGCCTCCCGCTGCGCAGCCGGGTCATTATGCTAATGAGGAGCGGGCGGAGGGGCCACAGATGAGGCCCTGCGATAAGGCGGGGGGTGGACCGAGCCGAGGCCCCCAGGAACAGCAAGAAGGTTCTGGTACCGTCTGCAAAACTCCATGTTCACCCAGGTTTATTCACGCTACAGAAAACTATTAAATAAAATATATCAAAAATAAAATCAGCTGGGGTTTTCTTTATAGTGAAAGGCAGCACTGACTCCGATTAAATTCTGGTTTTGTTCCGTTTAATTACATTGAATTTAAGCCCGTCTAATAAAAACTGTATTTTTATGCACTTTATGTTAAAAATAATTCAGCATGTTTTGACCTGCCTGTCATCAAACTTCATTCTGCTCCCGCGGCGAGTTTATAGCACCACCTGGTGTGCAGTGAGGGTTCTACCCTAAACATTCCCAAAGAAGATGAATAAAACATGAAGTTCTGACAGTTCATAGTATTGACATGTGCTGCTCCAGCAAGCAGCAGTGCAGTTTGTAGTTTTCTTTTTGCGAACTCGTTCAACCCAAAATGATCCCAATCCTTGCAGAAATTGTCCGCTTAGTTTAAAGGTTGTTCATCACGCTCGTGTCGTGTGCGCTTTCAGTTTGCCATGTTCCAAACCGGAGCATTAATTTTGGATTATTGATTATTATTTAAATTATTCGATGCAGAGTGGGAAAAAAATTGCCTTCCTTTCTTTTTTCCGAATCACTGATGGCTGTTTCGTATCTTTGAAGCTTTCCCCAAAAGCAACACCGATGCATCAGCATGTTCTATTTGTCAAGCTATTTTGTCTAAATTTGCTATAAATAACCCTAACCCAGCTCAATAGGATCAGTTGACCCTGAAGGCACCTGATTTGTGCTCTCAAATGTTTTTAAGTTTAAGTGAAAACAAAGAGGACTAATCAGTATGTAGTTTTTGAGCGTCACTAACATAAATTACTTGTTCTGACTTTGGACTCAAGTGACCCGGCGACTCCTGAACTCGTCACCGAAAGTGGAAACTTCACTTTGGACTTCAAGTAACTTGGGATTCTGTAACCTCTCCGCTCTTCCCTCACACTTTGGGATCCTAGTTTCCAAATGAGAGGCGAAGTTTGCTTTTACTTGAAAAGAGGACTTTGGACCACAGAGAAGCAGTCTGGTTCTTCAAAATTTGTCAAGTTGTTTCTGTTTTTTTTTTTTTTAACTAACATATCTACTTCAGTTTTTCCTTCCACTCAACTTTCCTACAGTACATCACTCTGTACACCCAGCAAAGACCGTTTGTGACTTACCCTTCATGTGGAGGTTGATTGCGGTCTGATGAGCGACTCACGCGTCTGGACTGTGTAATGATGATAGGCATAACGTTTCAGTTTAGTTTATATTATATTCTAATTTGACACAATATTTTAGCCATAAATGAACAGAAATAAACACTAGAAATCAGTGTATTAAATCTACATAGTAGTTCAGTTTTGCTTTTTGATTTCAATAAATAAAATACCTCTGAATCTAGTCTTTTGTCTAGTAGTAACTTGTTGATCACAGTAAAAAAACTTTTTTTTATGCTTCTAAACTTGATTCAAAGAGTAACTGTTTGGCTGATCTGCAATAAAATGTTACTTTTACATTTTCCATAATATCATGTTTTGACTCCAATACGTCCAACCAACCAAAACCGATTCAATGTTTTTGTTGTCGTTTAGTACAGTTGGCATCAAATATCCTTTTTAATTTCAATCATTATGTACAGATCACTATGTACAGAGGTCAGAATACAGCAGAGGGTCGAGGGGCGGAAGTCGCTGACATTCATTCTTTCCAAAAACAAACAACAAAAAAAACAAATCGTAGAGTTCCTCATTTCTCTCATTAGATCGTCGCGGATCAGCAGCATGTGTGCATAGAACAGGTTCAGCGACGCGCGTGTGCGCACAGCAAATAAATATGCACACGAAGACCGACTGTACCGTCCGCTGGCTGATCCCGCTGTAGAAGTCTGATCACGCACACACACACACACACACACACACACAGAGCCACAGCAAAGCAGGAAAAACACACACTGCCTCATCAGTCTAAGCTTCTTATTTTCTCACTGGGTTTAAATGAGAAACTTGAGTTGATTTTTTTTTAGCTTAATTTAGTAGAAAAAAACCACGTCACTGAATTCTCAGTATAGAAAGACTAACCTTTTGAACTAACACAAATTGAACGTGAAATATTCGTTTTATTTTTAAAAGTTAAAATTGAGCATTTTTTCCCTCTCATATATTGCTATAAGTTAAATGAGAAGGACTTATTTTAATGGAACATCAGCTAGAAATATAGCAGGATTTACTCACAATGGACCGAAATTTAACTGCGTAACCTCCACAACGCGTTGTTTTGTTTTTGTTCTTTTGAATATTCAGTGTGAGGCGCCGTCTCTTTACTCGGGGGCGTAATCCTAACTCTGATTCTCCCGCTCGAAGGTTCGTGATGAGGAAACGCTCGAGAGCAGTGGAGCAGTGGAGTCGGCGAGGATGAGAACAGAAATGTTTCAACTTAACCGTAGCGATGGAGGCACATGTCTCAAACACACATAAAGCCAAAAAGAGGTCCAGAACGTCACTTCTAGCGGGCCACGCCCACTCGGCGTGACGGCACATCAGTAGCAGATCATGGCGTACAAACATCGAGAGCTTTGGTGCGACATGAGACAATCAGGAGTTTTGTTCCTTCAGTTCAAAATAGCACAACAGGCGCAGAATTGATTCTCCAGTTCATATATATATATTTATATATTTGTATCTATAAATCCATTCAATGAGATATGTACAAAGTATGGCAAGGAGCACGATTTTATTTCAACTCGTCGTCGGGCGGCGTCGGCTCTTCACTGTGCGGTCCGTCGTGTTTCCCGTGAAGTGAACGTTTCATGCGTAGACGGAGAGCAGGGGGGTGGGGGGAGGCGAGGGTCCGCGGCGGCGTTGGACGCGGACCCCGTCCCCGGACGAGCTCCGGCGGGTTCGGAGGAGTTCGTCCAGAGATGACGGGGAGGAAGGAGTCTTCACCCCCGGGGTCATGTGGCGTTGACCTCCATGATGTGGTCGTCGGCGGTGGGCAGCACCAGGACCTGCTGCGAGTGGCTGTTGTTGAACACCTGTCCCGGGCTGAAGGGCTCCAGGCGCGGCATGGCCACGCCCCTCTGCTGCTGGTCGCTGCTGCCCACCGAGTGGACGCTGCCGCGGCTGCGGATGCTCGCCGTGTCCCCCTGGTCGTCCAGCGCCTTGTCCAGCAGGGACAGGCTGTCGTTCTCCACGCAGCTGTCTGCGGGGGGGAGGACAGGGGAGCGTTAAAGAAAGGGTCAGCATGAGAACAACATCCTTCCTGCTGAATCAGAAAAAAAAAAAAAAAAACTATCATAACTAGAGCTGGACGATAACAGATCCGAGTTTGGATTTTAATTGATTCTTTTTTTTTATGTTCGCCTTTATTTCTATAAAGAAATTACAAATGCTTATTTGAATCATTGTGATCAAGCTGTGAGAATTTTTGTTCAATTACAAGATGGCGTTGGCTGAAAAAAGATGCACATTTAATTTTGGATTTTGCAGAAAAATAAACCAAATAAAGTAGTAAAATGACTACTTTAACTTCTATAAAGTCTAATATTACAACTTTACTCTGGTAATACTACGATTTTTATTCTTGTGATTAAAATATTGGCCACTTTATCGCAGAAACGACCTGAATTCAATGTACAAATATTTAAAACTTACGATCTTAAGACACAATGATAGTCTTAAATGTACCGATATGTGCATTGGTGAGGGGGGGAAAAAAATCTAATCTTTTCTAAAAAAAAATTTAACTCTCGACAACCCCCAAAATTTGATTCATCGCTAAAATGGATCGGATGGGTCTGGCGTTAGAGGCTCTACTTCCTGTGGGGTCTCACCGGGGTCCGTCTGGATGGCCGCCGCGGCGTTGTGAGGGAGGTACTTGAGGACTGTGATTTTGGGGAAGGGCAGGTGACCGGCGAACAGGGGCATGACCTCGATCTGCACCTTGTGGGTGGCGTTGACCCTGAGAGGCATCAGCACCATCCCTGAACTCTTCCCACACACGGCCCAGTTGCTGCTGCTGTCAGCCACTGCGGACACAAACACACAGCAATTGAAATGTTTTTCATATGATATTAGACAATAGAAATACGTTACAAGGTCCAAGTAAACAATTCAATTCCATTTTAAATAAAGAAAAATCAATATTTTAATGCCTAAAATGTAATGGCAGCGTTCTCGTTGTGTACGACTGGTCATTTGTAAATTATTTGATTAATTTTTGCATTTACTGATTAAAAGTTGGATAGCAAAAAGTGCTTCATCATTTTTTTTATTATTATTTCTTAGCAGGATGTGAAGCTAAAATGATGCCACTTAAAAGGTTTCGGGTAAAACTTTTTTTTTTTTTAAATGCAAAATCTATACACTTTTTGTAGTTTTGGCTGACGTACTGCTAGGATGGCCTTATTTACGAGTCTGTATAACAAAAATAACGATTGATTGTTAAATCAGTTGACGATTATTTCAAAACTCAATGAACCACGATTAATCTGATTAATCACGATTAATCTAATAGTTTCATCCCTTACCACTTCAAACTTCAGCGTCTTCATTGAGGATTTTATGTGAAGTAAAAACGATATTCGTTTTAGCATTTAGCTCCAACCAATCAGCTCAGTGTTAAAGAAAAGCAAAATCCAAGTTAATTCCACATTGTGCGATTCATGCCTTCTTTATTGAGATGACAAGGTTGAGTCTCCTTGAGGAGAACCGTGCTGCCGACTCACCTTCATACATGAGCCTGGTGGTTTTGAGTCCATCCGAGTCGGTCTTGCTGTCCTCGGCCGCCTCTCCCTCCGAGGGCTCGGTCAGTCGCGTTATACACACTTCCAGCTCGCAGACCAGACCGGAGCGGCAGTGCTGCTCTCCCGCGGGGGGCAGGATCTCCGCTCTCACGCTGT